TGAACTCAGGACCTCTGGAAGAGCAGCCAGTGCTCTTAACCTCTGAGCCATCTCTCCAGCTCTAATTTTTAAATTTTTATTTGATGTGTACAGGTGTTTTGCCTGCATGTATGTCTGTGTACCACTTTCGTGCCTGGCGCCTGTGGAGGCCAGAAGAGAGTGTTTGTTGGATACCTGGGCACTGAGATTACAGTGATTGGGAGCTGCCAGGTGGTGCTGGGAATCGAACCTGGGACCTCTGCTAGAGCAGCCATGCTGATCTGAACCCTGAGCCGTCTTTCCAGCCCTGCCCCTTTGTTTGAGGCAAGGTCTGAAGTAGTTGAGGCCGCTCTTGAACTCCTGGTCTTCCTGCCTCTGCCTCCCAAGTGCTGGGATTACATCCCACTTCTACTTTGTGTCTTTTGTTTGTTTGATTGGTTTCTGAAACAGGATCACACTCTGTTGCCCAGGCTTGTCGGAAGTATCGGGGACTAAGGGGGTTCAGCCCCTCGATAGTCCCCTCCCAGGGTCCAGGAAGAATCTACAACCAGCTGATAATTAATCTTTGATGAAAAGAAATGAATCTATGTACATGAAACTCCTTAGTTCATACGTTTTATTATTTTGTGATAGTTCTCTCTCTGCACAGCTTTTATTCTGCTCTCATGTCTAGCTCCTTTCTTGCCTGATTTTTCTATATTAATCTACTGTCCCCTCTAGGTTCTATCTTAATTCCTTCATCTAGTTCTGTCCCTTCTAGGTTCTTATCTATCTAGTTTTTTCCCCTATCAGCTTCTCTCCCGTCTCCTTCTCTCTCATCTGGCTCTTCCTCATCTTGTTCTTCCCCATCTGGCTCTTCCTCAGCTTCCATCTCGTTCCTCTAGTACTCTCTTCTAGCCCTTCAATCTAGTTTTCCCTCATCTCAGTTCGTTCTTCTTTAGTTCTTCCATTCTCTTTTCTCTTCTCCGTCCCCCTGTGCCCTGGAAGTCCCAGTAAATATACACTTACAAGCAGTATTCCCTTAGCAATGCAAAGCCAGGCTTCCAGGGTCAAACCGAGGGGTGATAAGAATCACATAGAGAGGCAATAACCATTAATTATCATTTGCAACCCCAAAGGGAAGTGACCAATGGAGAAATGAATTAACTAAAGGCTAAATTCAGGTAATATCTAAGAAGAAGGCTCTTATGTGCTCAACTATAATCTTAAACGTGATTGGTAGAAAATGTTAAGAATCTATAAGTTGCTAGGTCAATGGGAGAAAATAAAACTGTCTTCTTTTTTCCTGTGGCCCCTATCTGTCCAAGCTATCTGCCGTTTTTTCTGCAGGGTGGGAGAAAGTGTGCTCAGTCGCTAGGCAACCTGTGTACAGCTAGATGCCTCTGGTGATAGTTGAAGGGAGATCTGGAACTGGAGGTAAGGTTTGGGAAAGGAGGAAGTAAGGCTTAATTGGCACATCCGCCAGGCCTTCTCAAACAGGTAGCCTGGATGCTTAAGTCTGTTCTTAGAGAGTACGGAGGTATCTCTGATAAAGTACTTTCTTCCATCTGGGGATGGACCTGGCCGGATGCTGCCAATGATGATAATTACAGGGAGGCTTGAACTGGGATTCTGGCTGAGCATAGCTGTCAGTGCAGAAGGTTATCTAAATATCCCTAGAAGTGGTTAGGTAAGGAGTTAATGGTCTATAAAGTTGGTAAGGCTATAACAAAAGGAGGGTCCGAGCTGATATGTAAAGCTATTACTAATGTCCACCTGACCTAGGCGGTGTCTCCTTATGGAATTTATCTTAAATCAGGAGACTTGTATGTGGACTGTTATTACTGCTAGTTCTTGAAAGTAGCCAAGGGAGAGATCTGATTCCAGAGAAAGCCTTTCCTAAGGCAGTTCTCCAAATACCTGGAATGTGTATGTCCAGAGAGTGATCAGTCCACACTGTTAGCCCTTCTTAGGGAAAAGTCAATTGGGAAAACTATGAAGGCACACATGATTTTCATAACAGAATACAGCTGACATATAACAAGTCAAGTAACACCAAAAACTCCTTGGGATTTGGCTTCCTCTGGAGGAATTCCCTGATTCCTCCAGGTAGTGACTTTGCCATAACCAGCTGAGTTGTTATGATATTCCTGCGGCCCGCAGCAGGAAGCTCATTATGAAGTCCATAACTGGCCTTGAACATGTGACACTCTTCCCGCCCTGGCCTCCTGAGTGCTGGGATTTTTATAGGTGGAAGCCTGGCATTTTGGATTCTTTCAATTAGCTATTCTAACCGTGAGACGATATCCCACCGTGGATTTGATTTGTATTTTCCTGGTGCCTACACACTTTTTCCCCCATATACTTTGTTATTTGTATATCTTCTTTTGAAAAGTGTCTCTGCAGATCTTCAGCCCACGCCAGGTGTGGTGATATGTGCCTCTAATCCCAGCACATAGGAGAATGAGGCAGGAGGAGTGAGCATTTGAGGCCAGTCTAGGTTACATAATGAGACCCTGTCTTAAAGAAAAGAAAAAAAAAATAGACCTTCAACCCATTTGTAAGTAAGATTATTTGCTCTTTAAAGATACATTCATTTTTACTTACATGTGTGAGTGTTATGCCTACATGCCTGTGCACTGTATGTATTCAGTGCCCTCCGGGGCCTGAAGAGGGGGTGCATCAGATGCCCTGGGACTGAAGTTACAGATGTTAGCCTCCATGCAGTTGCTGGTGCTCTTAACCACTGAGCCATCTTTCCAGCCCCTTACTTGCTTTCTTTACTGTTGAGATTTTTAATTCCTTACAGCTCCTGCATATTAATCCCTTCTTGAGTGAATAGTTAATAAGTATTATTCCCCACTCCATAAGCTGTTAGCTCTGCTGACTGTTGCTTTTGCTGTGAATATTCTTAGTTTGATTTAATTGCATTTAGTCTGTTTTTGCTTTTATTTTATGCGCTTTCGGGGCTGTGTTAATTGTTTTTTTTTTGTTTGTTTGTTTTTGTTTTGTTTTTTTAAACTTTTTTTTATTTTTATTCCATGTGCATTGGTGTATGTATGTATGTCATACATCAGGTGTTAGATCCCTTGGAACTGGTGTTAGAGACAGTTGTGAGCTGCCATGTGGGCGCTGGGAATTGAACCTGGGTCCTCTGGAAGAGAAGCTAGTGCTCTTAACCACTGAGCCAGCTCTCCAGCCCCGTGTTAATTGTTTATACCAGTGTTCTGAGGCTTTTCGTTTCCTTCTAAGATTTTTTTTTTAAATTATACGTATGTGTCTGGGGAGCGGGGTGGCTGTGTATGTACAAAAGAGGCTTTCTTATCCCCAGGATCTGGAGTTAGAGACAGTTGTGAGTTGTCCAATTCAAGTGCTGGGAATTGAACTCAGCTCCTCTGCAAGAGCAGTACTCTCTCTTAACCACTGAGCCATCTCTCCAGTCCCGAGGCTTTTTCTTTTATATAACGTTATAATTTCAAGCTTTATGTTTAGGTCTGGATGATCTCTTTGTGTTGATTTATTTTGAGACAGGGCTTTCACCGCACAGACTTGGCTTGCCTGGAACTCACTGTGTAGACCAGTCTGATCTGAAATGCACAAAGATCTGCCTGCTCCTGCTTCCTATGTGCTGAAACGAGAAGTGTGCACCGCCATGCCCTGCTTAAGACTTATTCTTTTTAATGATGTATATGTGTGCATGTGGGCACATACACACGAGTGTAGGTGCCTGTGGAGGCCAGAGTCCTCCACTCCGAGAGGACTGAGGTTCTGGAGCTAGAGCCACGGGCAGTGGTGAGCACCGTGCATGCGTGCTGGGAGCTGAACCTGGGTCTTCTGCACTCTGTCACTTTGTGCTCTGTCACTTGGTGGTGTGTGCTCTTAACTGCTGAGCCCTTTCTCAAGCCCCCCCCCCCGTGTTGATTTTTAGATTGTATTTATTTTTATGTGTGTGTATGTGTTCATGTGTGCCTGCAGGCCACAAACGTGTGTACAGAGGTCAGTGGACGGTGTGCAAGAGTTGGCTCCCTCTTTCTACCACGTGGGTCATGGGATGGGACTCAAGTTGTTTGGTTTGATAGCAGATACCCGCGGAGGCATTTGGCTGGCTCCGTGGTGTTTGTATTGGTGAAAGATACAAATCTAGATTCAGTCTTCCGCAAGTGGACGTCCGGTTTACTGAAGAGGCTGTGCATTCCCTCACTATATGTTTTTCTTGCCTTTGTCAAAAACTAGTTGGCTGTAGGTTCATGGGTTTATTTCTGGGTCTGTATTCTGTTTCATTGGCTCCGATGTCTGGCTTTATGTTGGTACTGTATCTTAGTATTATTTTATTATGCTAGCTGTTGTTGAGTCAGGGTCTCATGCACCTCAGATACACTATGTGGCTGTAGCTGGCTTTGAACCTCTGACTCTCCTGCCTTTCCCTCCCAGGGCTGGAATTACAGGCATGGATCACCACACCCAGCCTCCAGCCTTGTTATTCTATAATTGGGGTCTTTTGAGAGCTCACATTTGTTCCTTTTATTTCTGGGAAGAGCACCATTGGGTTGAGATTGCATTAAATTTGTAATTGTTTTGAATGATATCCAGAATTCTGCTTTTAACCATCCTGTTGCCTCTCAAGATTTTTTTTTTTTTTGGTTTTTTGAGACAGGGTTTCTCTGTGTAGCTTTGCGCCTTTCCTGGAACTCACTTGGTAGCCCAGGCTGGCCTCGAACTCACAGAGATCCGCCTGGCTCTGCCTCCCGAGTGCTGGGACTAAAGGTGTGCGCCACCACCGCCCAGCAACCTCTCAAGAATTTTTAAGCCTCGTTGTTCCCATTTAGGTGATAGTCTGAGGGGCTAGAGAGATGGATCAGCAGTTAAAAACAGTTGGCTGCTCAGACCTGGGTTCAGTCCCCAGCACCCACATGGTGGCTTATAAACCATTCATGATTCCAGTTCCAGGGGATCTGATGTTCTCTTCTGGCCTCCATCACGTACCAGGCATGCATGTGGTGCACACAGGCAAAATGCTTGTACACAGAAAATAAAAATAAATTTTAAAAAATTGTATATGATTATCTGAGCTTCGCCCAACTCGTAAATGAGAGGATTCAAACTCTAACAGACCTGATTTCAAGGCCAGATGTGGCGGTACATGCCTTTGATTCCCGCACTGGGGAAGTGGGGGGAAGAAGAAGCAGAAGAAGTTCCAGTCTAGCCTTGGCTAGTAGAGATTTGAGAGCCAGCCTGGGCTACATGAGACCCTGTCTCAAGAAAAGAACAGTAGCAAAAATCCTAAAATCTGGATTATAAAGCCCAAGGTCTCTAGACCTTACCCCCCAGCCCCCAGGCAGGGGTCTCACTGTGTAGACTGGTCTCAAACTCAGAGATCCGCCTGCCTCCGCCTCCCGAGTGCTGGGATTAAAGGTGCCCACCTAGCTCCCTGCCACCTTAGACTAGAGACACATCCCAGCTCCCTCTGCCATTCTCCATGTGTTTCCCTCACTGAGTCTTGTCCCATTGTCTGTCCTTGTACACCTAGACATGTGGACGAGCTGCAGCAGCCTCTGGAGCTTAAACAGGAGCCCGAGCCGGATTCATTAGAGCTAAACGCGGAGCTCATGTCCCCGATGGAGTTAGAACAGGACCTGGAGTTACAGACACTGCTGAACACAGGGCTGGATCTGGGGACGGAGCTGGAACTAAACCCCACACTCCGTGTGGCCCCACAAACAATGCTGGAGCCAGACCCCAGACCTGTACCGCAGCTCTTGCCAGAGTCAGGGTTACCTGATGACCTGCAGCATTTGAACGTGGACGATATGGAAAGTAAGTGATAAGGCTGGACGAGGGGGGGGGGGGGGGGTGGGGGTGTGGGGGGGGGGGAATGGGGGGTGGGACCACCTTCGCTGCCTCTCTCGGACCCGTTACCACAAGGTGAGCTCCAAGTTCCTCCTTCATTTCCTGGTGATTCCTTATGTTAGGAAACGCAGGTGTCTCCCATGTCCATTTCCCAAGAGTCCCTTCAGCCCCAGATTGTGCCTTTCCTGCTAGAGCTGGGAGCTTCTCACTTGGCTCAGGACCTGACATTTTTCTCTGTGTGGTCTAGTCTTCAGGGAAAGCGTAAATATTGATGATATCATGCCCCATGATGACCCGCTGTTGGCTGGCCAGAACGTCATAGATGAAGCCTGCATATCCCGCCGAAGCCATTTTGATGTGGATGGACCCTTGCTTCCCTCGGATGACTAGGAGCCACGTTCCCGTTTGGTCCCTCTGACCTCCCGCACCAGGACATTGCTTCCAACAGTGGGAAATGAGGCCTTCTAAGCTGGGTTAGCCGTGAACTTCGGAGTAATAGGTGGAAGTATAAGATGGCTTTGAAGGAGCAGCAACGAATCAGAACAGACGCTGGCCATAGTCTTACTAGAACCTTGAGGCTGCCTGCCATGCTGGGAGACACAGAGGCCCTGACGGGGGCAAGCCAGGACATTTGGGAGATTATCAGAGATTATCCAAGGCAGTGATGTCTTTCCAGTATGGAAGGATTTTAATGGTTTGATGATCGGTAAGGCTAAATTGGTGTGAACCATGGTTGGGTCTTTGTGGAGAGCACAGAAATGGGTGGAGTCTTGCTCTTCCTCCCCTTTTGCTATCCTGGGTCCTTGCCAAACCCAGAGTCTCACCCATGGCAACCACGACGGCACTGAGCCATACCCCAAGTCCTTCAGTCCTCACTTCCGGTCCAACCTGACCCTTTCCTCGTCTCCTCCCTTCGCTCCTGACTCCATTTCTAAATCTCCCGTTTTCCTAGAGAGGCCGAGAGCTGTCTGCTTCAGCCCAGCCTGTGAAACGCTATCCCGAGGAAGGGCGTGGCTATCCCGAGGAAGGGCGTGGCCATCCCGAGGAAGGGCGTGGCTATCCCGAGGAAGGGCGTGGCCATCCCGAGGAAGGGCGTGGCACGTCCCATTCCTCCCAGCCGTCCCCTGCCCCGTTCAGTTCCTCCCCCACAAAATAACCCTACTCCTCTTACCAAGATGTGAAGCTTTGCTCTGTTAGGGAGGCTCGTCTCTGCTTCCCCAGTTCTGGAGAGAATGGCTCCTGGTCTGGGCGGTAAGGTTTCTGAGCATCGGGACTTGATGGTTACGGTACTCCGCAGAGTGTCTGGAGAGAAGTGCTGCTTCTGAGCTGACTGACTCATACGTTGTCACTGCTGCTTTTCTACCTTGTTAACATGAAAGCGACGCTTCTGTCCCTTAGGCGTGACCTGGGCAAGGACCTCGGGGCCTGGAAGGTTTATCAGAGGCCCCTGGACATCCTTCAGCCTTAGCCATTCATTGCCAGGCAACCTGGGAGCACCCGCCACTGCTCTAACCACTGCTCTAACCCGAGTGGTCAGTGGACACAGGGGAACATGCTGTGACCGTTTCCTTCCTGGTGTGTCAGAAGAAGAGTCCTGTTCAGGAAGGGTTAATAACGGTGGGGGGAGGGGACAGCAGTTGCTGTGTCCAGCCATGAAGGTGGCATGAGCAAACCAGAAACCAAGGAGCTAGATAAGGAAGACACACAGAGAGGAGCAGAGGAAACTCAGGGAGGTAAAAGCGAAAGTCGTAAGAGGAAGGCCCCCCGGCCAACAGATGGAAGGTAAGAAATCCAGTGGAAGGTAGGTGGCGGTGGTGGCGCACACCTTTAATCCCAGCACTCAGAGGCAGGTGGATTTCTGTGAGCTCAAAGCCAGCCTGGTCTACAAAGTGAGTTCTAGGACAGGCAGGGCTACACAGGAAAACCCTGTCTCCGAAGAAAAGAAAGAAAAAGCGGCAAAACCAGGCAGGGTGATACATGCCTTTAATCCCAGCGCTCAAGTGGAAGGTGGATCTTTCTGAGTTTTGAGCCAGCCAGGGTGACGTAGTGGGACCCAGAGAGAGGCTGCTCTGTGCCCGAGATGATGGTAACGCGTCGTCCCGTCCTTTGTAAGTACCTCCGTTCCTGCTGTAGCACCTTTCATCGTTTGCTGCCTATAGCTGGAGTGAACTATTGTCTCGAGTCTTTTGTACATCATAATAAACTTTTGTTAGACAAACAACAACCAAAAAAAACAAAAACAAACAAACAAAACCAGTGTAAGTGTCTCTTCTTCAAACACTTGTGCTTTTCTGCCCCTGGAAGCTAATTCCTTAGCAAGGCCAGTGAGGCCAGGGATGTGGTCCTTAGGTCACCAATCTGTGGCCTCTCTCAGGCCTGCTGTGGCTCATTCCCCTGTCACATTCCTTCTCTCCTCTGGTTGGTGCGGCCATCTTTGTCCCACAGACAAAGCTTCCATTATTACTCAGTTGGTTGGTGGCAAAGTCAAGACATAAACCTGGACCTGGCCAGGCCTGGTGACACATGCCTATCACCCCAGCTTTTGGGAGGTAGAGGCAGGATCAGGAGTCCAAGGCTTAGCCTAGGGTACATGGCAAGTTCCAGGACAGTCTCAGATACATGAGCCCATGACTCTAAAATAAAAAATAATATGAATCTGACTCTGCAGCCCATGTGCACATTTCTTAATTTTTTTTGTTTTTTGTTTTGTGGCAGCAAGGTCCCTGTGGAGCCTTTGATGGCCTGGAACTTGTGTAGAATAGGCTAGCCTAGAGTTCACAGTGACTTTCTCTCTTTGCTCTCCAGACCTGGAATTACAGTTACACACCACCACAGTCAGACTCTGGTTGGGGGGCAGGTGGGTGGGTTTTCTTAGACAGGATTTCATGATACAGTCCAAGCTGACAACAAGCTCATGATCTACCTGCCTCAGTCACCTGAGTGTTGGGTTACAGGCGGACCTCACTGGCAGAGGGTACGTCCTTTGATGTCTAGGCCATGGAAATAAAGGAGATAGGTAGGATGTGGTGGCGAACACCTGTAATCCTTGAGAGAACGAGACAGGGGGATCCCCACCAGTTTGAGGCCAGCCTGGTCTACTTAGTTATTAAGTTCCAGGCCATCCAGGGTTACTTAGTGAGACCCTATTTAAAAGAAGAAACCATCTCCCTTCACTTTTCATTTGTTGAGATTGTGGTATAATTAATTACATCATTTCCCCCTTCCCTTCCTTCCCTCTAAATCCTCCCATGTGCCTGCCCCTTCTTGCTCTCTTTCAAATCCAGGGCCTCGTTTCTCATTAACTCCCCACATCTTTTCATCTTGCACTCTTTACTTTTCTTTGTTGTTTTGTTTTGGGACAAGGTCTCACTGTGTAGCTCTGGCTGTCCTGGAACTCACAGAGATCCTCCTGCCTCTGCCTCCTGTCTTGAAAAACAAAAACAAAATATTTCCAGGCTTGGTGGCACACCTGTAATGCCAGCACTTGGGAGGCCACGGAAGGAGAATTGCTCTGAATTTGACATCATTCTGGTCAATATATCAAGGAGTTCCAGGGCTACATCGCAATATCCTGTCTCAAAAAACAAACACCACCAAAAACTTGAGGCAGGCGTGACAGCTCACAGTACCGAGGCAGGAAAACTGCCGTAAGTTCAAGACAGGCTAGTGTGAAATCCTACTTTAAAATGGAAGTCAGGAGAGTTGGAGAGAGAGTTTAGTAGGTAAAGCCCTTGCCAGGAAAGTGTGGAGACCAGAGGTTGGAGCTCCAACATCCACATAAATAATGGATGAGCATCATCGTTCCTCACCTGTCATCCCAGCACTTGGGAGGCAGAGCCAGGACTCCCAGAGCAAGCTGACTAGGGTGGGGAGTCTAATCAATCAGTTGCTAAGTCTAGGTTCAAGTGAGAGCCCCTGACTCAATCAAGTGGACAGAGCTGGGTGAAGTGGCGCACGCCTTTAACCCCAGAATTGGGGAGAGAGACGCAGGCAGATCTCTGTCGAGTTCAAAGCCACCCAAGGGTACTCAACACAAAGCAATGTGTCCACTCAGAGCTCAGGACACTCTCAGACCTTTGATCACGGCCTGTCGGGGATGTTGGAGCAGAAGCGAGTTCCTGTTGTCATTACTTGGTCATCTGTTTTATTTCTCATCTGTTTTCTTCCCCAACTGTGCTTAGAAATTAGACTCAGAGAGGCACATAAATAAATCTTTATTGGAAAAAATACATAATTCCTTATAAATATAATAAATAACAATCCTCTACACTGCTGTTACAAGGATAAATAATACCAAACTCTCCCCTCCCAGTTAATAAATATGCAAGTTTGTCACAGGTTAGCGTCACAAGTCGGTCCACACTGGTCATTTGTTAGATCTCAGGGACTAAGCAGACGGGAGCTTCCATTCCACGGTGAGCTGCACATTTCCCCCGGGCACTCAGAAAAGTATAACTTGCCCTTTTTCTTCTTTCTCGTGCAGATACTGGCCAAAGCCTGGGCTTTTCTCAGTTTCTCTGATGTGCACCTCCACCCCCACCCCTTCCACCACGAGGCCGCCTGCCAGCTTCCTCGGCAAAGGGCATAACTTTATCCTTTGTCTCCATCTCCTTCCTCTAGAGAGCTACCTACTCGGGGCTGTTCTTTGTTTTTCTCTTTAATAAAATTGTCCTTGCCCCTCAAACAAAACAACAACAAACACACAGTGCTCACTAATGGACCAGTTAGCTCGTCGGCTTCTAGATGCCTGGGTTCATAAATTAATCTTATCATTTGCTGAGCCTTGGGAACCTGGGCGCCATACTTAAGCTGATGGCATTAAGGGCTCAGTCAGGGTGGCTGCTCCGTGGGCAAAGACCCGGGCTGCTATGGCCACAAAGGCCTGAAGGCTTCGGAGGATCTTGGAGCGGAGGAGGGGACGCTGCCACCGCTGGCTGGGCCTCAGGCTAGGCATCTGCTCGCTCTCCCAGTGGCGATCCTTTGGCTAAAAGGACACAAGACACAGTCAGAAAGGATTCTGTACTAAGCTCCCAGCCTCTGTCTTGGACACTGACCAGCCCCACCCTCCAAATCCCTGGTGCACACCTGGAGGAGTTGGCTGAGGCCCAGTAGGGAGGTATGAAGCTGGCCCACGGGGTCATCGGGGAGCAGAGAAGGCTCCCCTGTGAAGATGTCTGAGTCTAGCAGCTGCTTATAAAAAACCAGACCTTGGTGGATTCTTTGCAGGCAGAACTAGAGAAAGAAGAAAGCACATGAATGCTGTTTTCCAGTGTCCTGCCTTCCTGTCTTCTGCTTTTCTTTTCTTCTTTCTTTAGACAGCATCTCACTAGCTTGGACTATAGCCTTAAACTTGCTCCCTGTAGCTCAGGCTGGCTTCAAGCCCACAGCAGGTCTTGACCATCTCGGGCATGGCTGAGTGGTCAATTATGATGCCCAGCTCACTCCTCCTCCCCTCTCTTAGATGCACTAACATCACCCTGGTGGTACCTGGCTGTTGTCCTTGAGTCCTTGGGGATCGCAACCATCCCCACACTGGATACGGGGGACATCATTTCTAGGCTCTTCGTCTTCTTCTCTTAGTGTATCCTGTAGTGGGGCCAAGGGAGGATGAGACAACGTAAGTGCTTTTGCATTCCAATGGATCCTTGGTCCATGACTCTCACAGAAGTCCCAGTCTTCTGTCCTCGTTCATTCCATGACGACCTTCGTCCCTCCAGATTCCACCCAGGGCCACAGCTCACATCAGACCTACCCTTAGAAGGCCTGGAAAGGTTTCTGGCCATGATGACCTTCGTCCCTCCAGATTCCACCCCGGGCCACAGCTCACATCAGACCTACCCTTAGAAGGCCTGGAAAGGTCTCTGCGTGGCACCGGGAGCTGACACTTACCGTGTGTCCCACTGGTGGGTGTGCACTCCAGGCCAGTGTGCAGAGATTCCGAGACAGCTGTTGGCATTGTGCCCAGTCGGGGCTGCTGGTCCTGGGCACAGCCAGGCCCTGAGCGGTCCAGGGCAGCAGCCACAGCAGCAGTATAGTTCTGCAATCCAGCATCTTGTTGCCTGCTTCTCAGATCCGGCCGGCTCCGTGATCTGCCCCAGGCCTTGTGAACTCTGCACCGGCCTCCTCTTGTTCTGACTCTTGTAGTCCGGTTTCTGAGCTGCTTCCTGTTTTCTTCCCTTTGTCTCGCAGTCTCTTTTTAAGGTCCCCGCACTGTAAGGCCCGCCCTTTGCACTGGCAGGTGACTCAGAGCAGGTGGGATTCCCCTCCCTGCATCATCTCCCTCCGTGGAGAGCCCAGGTATGCCTCCTCGGTTCCAGGGGAAATGAGTGGTGAGGCTGCTGTGGCTAGAGGCCTAGGATGGGACACATGTGTCACGCTCTCCAGGAACAGAGATGGCTGCAGAAGGGACGGGGAAGGAATGAACATTTAAATTAACACCGTCTCCAGTTCCTCCCTGTGTAATCCGATATTTTTGCCTCTCAAGGCTTTATTCTTACCTCATCCCACTCTGATTTTCTCACTTCCTCTTGCCTGAGGAAAAAAACCAAAACAGGGTTCATTCATCTCCAAATCCCATGGCGAGCTCAGTTTGAAATGAAATTTGGTTGCTGTGTGACACCTTCTGTGTCAGAACGAGGCTTTTCTTTTCCTCCGAGGGAAATGGTGTTCTTTTCACTGGGTGGTCCTGGTTTGGGAGGCGACAGTAACCATGAAAATGCTTTGTGATCTGAGATGCTGTATAAGGGCAAGGTAAGAAACGGCTGCTTTCCTCACTGTGGAAAGGGCACTTTGGGGGTGATGATGCTGGCTAAGAACCGCTTGCTCTTCCATTCCACTTAGCCTAAGGTTGTCATGGGTTCTGTGGGGTTTAGGTAATGATTTTTCAGGGAACCTGTATAACCAAGGACTGGAAATCCAACTTAAACATTTCAGCCCCCTCCCCTGCTCCTACCCCATAGCTAGAAACGTGTAGCTAGAAGTTCTGGGTGGTTGACAGTGACAATGACCCTTGCTGCTCCTCCAGACCTATTGCATCCATGGGTAAAATCCACTGATGGCTGATTTCATCACCCTCCATGATGCAACCTCCAGGGAAGCAGCTGAGAGAGTGAGATTGGACGTGGGAGGAGAGGGTGGTCTGAAGCTGGGACTGCCCCAACCCCAGTGGAGGGTCCCAGGACAATTTGGACGTCAGAATGAGGCTGTAGATGACCACAGGGAAGGCTCTCGAAGCCTTCCTAAGCTAACTTTTC